TCCTGAAGAGTGAATCTGATGTCAAATGAATGTCGACTGGTGGATGTACAGTCCTCCATCAGCCCTTTAGAATTAATTTAGAATGATTAGTTTAGGATTAATTTAGAATGATTGATAAACTCAATGGATGACCAACAAATGATGAGAAGGTATGTTTGTATGAATATGAGAATGAAAAAGGCCACAACAGCTTAGAAGGGTATTAGGGACTCCATGGACTAGAAAAGTAAGTACGGAAAGGAATAACATTTCTGGAACAAGGAAAACAAGCCATTAGATATTGAGGCATACTTAAAATTTGAGAATGGATTAAAGTTAACTTACATGCGCTAGATGGTAAATTAGATCCAAAATTCCATAAATATGATTTTTTTTTTTTAATCTTTCAACATGATAAGATAAATAAATGGTAAACTTATGAATATTTACCTTTTGTCTAGAAATAGCTTGAAAATTATTAAGCAAAAGCTTAATGTTATGAGCCAATTTTTTCGTTGCTTTGACAAAAAGTAAGCAATCATCAGCAAAATAGAGATTTGACATTTTTATTCCATAATTCGAAGAGAGCAAGCTAATATGTGAAGAATTGAAAAGGGCCAAATTCACTCGTATATTCCTACATGCAATTCGCCTATAGTATTTAGGTCAAATGTGAACACATAGAAACTCATTAAGATCAATGAAAACCTCCAACAAGCATGTAAACCCTAGGATTATGGTATTTACCCTAGATGGATTACAAATTCTAATCACAAGAAGCAAGCATCAAATTAAGTATGGTATTTACTCTAATTTGCATCCGATTAACTCAATTAAAAGTCTATATGGTGATCAAACATCAAGATAATCAACCAATTTTTTAAGCAAAATGATTAAGAATCCAACATCAAACGGCAATCCACAGATAGGTAAAATAAGAAAAATTAGATTATCATACTATGGCTACATCATGCCCTAGCAACAGAAAATTACTTACACATAATCATAGAATTTGGCACAAGGAAAAAGATAAGGAAGAAACAATAAAACTTAGCCAATTGGGGTAATCTTCTGGCGTCTCCAATCTCTCCAAGTCTTTGCGTCACTCCCTAAGGAGTTGTTTCTCATGCTTAAATAAAACTTCACACGTCTATTCCTACCCTAGCTGGGCTTTTACAGCGGCCCAAAATAAAGAAAAATCTAATTAAAACATAAATCGAAAATGGGTAAGTAATTGACTCATCTTCCTACTTTGACTGGGATAACACGTCAATTACTTTGCACGTACGTTTAGGGTAGTTCTTCTGCCAAGAAAATTCAGAAAAAAATATGTAAATTGTAGGTCTTTGTCTTATCTTTCCAGCCATATATCACACCTCTTGAGGAAAAATGAAGAAAGTCTTCAAATAATCATTCTTCCACGGCAACACAGTTTTGATGGGATTGCAGACACATTCCACAATCATCTTCAAGATCTTAGCTTTCATCTTCAACTGGTCTTGTACAAAAATTCCACCAAAAAGTCAAAAACCAATTACTTGCTCCGGAAAGTTGAAAATTGTAATATTCCATGGAAAGAAAAGCATTAAATAAAATAACTGTAGTTAGTTCTAGAATCAAGAAATCTGATCTAAAAAGTTGAATTTTGTGCATATATGAAGAAGATTTTGCATTACAATCCAAAAAAAAAAAAAAAAAAAAAAGAAGATTCTGCAGAATTTCATTGCAAGAAGTTTTGCAACCTTATATAGTCCAGATTGGCAAACGAGCATCTCCAGGCCTAAAGCATTTTTCAAAACCTCCAATGGAAGTTCTCAAATTTCTCCTTCTTTTGCTGTTTGCAGCAACAGTTGATTGGAGTGAAGCAGGGTTGCCCAGCTTAAGGCAGGGGAGCTCTTTGAAAGTTGAGGAAGAGATTGACTTGGTTTCACCAAATAGAACTTTCTCCAGTGGATTTTACAAGGTTGACACCAATGCCTCTTGTTATTCAATATGGTTCACCAATTCTGTCAATAAAACAGTTGTCTGGATGGCTAACAGAGATAAGCCTGTTAGTGGAAGAGGGTCCAAGCTAACTCTCCACAGAAATGGCAACTTGGTTTTGACTGATGGGGTTGGATCAATTGTATGGTCAACCAACACTTTCTCTAATGCAGGTGTGGAGGCTCGGCTTCTTGAGACCGGAAACTTGGTGTTGATCAACCAAGCAAAGGAGGTCCTCTGGCAGAGTTTTGATTCTCCTACAGATACTCTTCTACCATCACAGAAACTTGTCAGGAACACAACCTTGGTGTCCATGAGAAGTCAAGGTACATACTTATCTGGATTCTATAACTTCAAATTCGGTGATAGTAATGTCTTATATCTCGTTTACAATGGCCCTCAATTTTCGAGTGCTTATTGGCCAATGCCAGGTGTAAATGTTTTTGACTTTGGTAGAACACCTTACAATAGCTCTAGAGTAGCAATTTTGGATGGGGTTGGGGAATTTATATCAAGTGACGGTTTGATGTTTAATGCATCTGATTATGGGTTTGGTCCAAAGCGTCGTTTAACACTGGATTATGACGGCATGTTAAGATTGTACAGTCTAGATGAATCAACGGGGCTTTGGGAACTCTCATGGTTGCCTGATGCTGTTGTTATTTGCCTGGTTCATGGCTTGTGTGGTGAATACAGTTTGTGCACTTACAAACCACAACCTACTTGTACTTGCCCTTACGGTTTCTCCCTAAACGATCCTTCAGATAAGTCAAAAGGCTGCTCACCTTTGTTCAATTTGATTCATGATGCAAACAAGTTGGACTTTATGGAGCTTCCTAACTCAGATTACTATGGATTTGACTTGGATACCTATGCTCTTGGAGTTTCTTTTGAAGCATGTGCCTATATGATTCAAGATGCAAAGGATTTGGATATGCTTTGGATGGAAGAGGACAATGTTTCCCCAAAAGTTTTCTCCGTAATGGATTTCATATTCCTAGTACTTTCATCAGCATATATATTAAGATTCCAAAAATTTTAATGAGCACAGATGAAGTCCTAAGGAAGCTAAAACCATATGAACTGAACTGTTCTGCAGCACACGTTGCTCTCCAACATAGTGATCTTGAAGTGGAAAAGAGCAATAAAACTCGGTTCATGGAATACCTGATTGGCTTCTTAGGTTCATTTGCAATCATTGAAGCAATCAGCATTGGTTTGACATGGTGGTACGCCTTCCGAAAGCATGCTCATGAGGAATTTGTGAATATGGGTTACATCGCATTAGCCATGGGATTCAAGCGTTTCACTTATGAAGAACTTAAAAAAGCAACCAATGGCTTCAAACATGAGGTAGGAAAAGGTGGTTTTGGAGCTGTGTATAAAGGTGTTCTAGATGATGAAAGAGTTGTAGCTGTGAAGAGACTAGATGGCATCTTGCAAGGAGATGCAGAATTTTGGGCAGAGGTGAGTGTGATAGGGAATATCAATCACAGGAACTTGGTTAAACTATGGGGTTTCTGTGCTGACAATGAGCATAAGCTGCTCGTCTACGAGTACCTGGAGAATGGATCACTGGACAGACTCTTGTTCAGTTCAGATGGGGAACTAGGATTGGAGCAGAGATACAACATTGCTCTTGGCACAGCAAAGGGTTTGTCATATTTACATGAGGAATGCCTAGAATGGGTGCTCCATTGTGATGTAAAGCCTCAAAACATTCTGTTAGATGACCACCTTGAACCTAAAGTAGCAGACTTTGGCATGTCAAAGCTATTCAAAGACATCCATGGCATGAAAGACATCCAAGGGATTGGCTTTTCAAAAGCGCGGGGCACCAGAGGTTATATGGCTCCAGAGTGGATGATGAACCAGACAATTAATGCAAAGGCAGATGTCTACAGCTATGGGATTGTGTTGTTGGAACTACTGAGTGGAAAGAGAGCTTCTATTCTAGTTTCGGCTCTTGCCAAAGAGTACAATGAATGCAACCAGTTGGCACAATGTGTGGCTGAAAAGATCAGAGAAGAAGGGCTTGAGGAAGTACTTGATCCTAGACTACTTGGTGAACTTGATAAGAAGAAGCTCGAAAGATTGATGGAAGTTGCTCTACTGTGTGTTCAAGATGATCGCAGTGCAAGGCCAGCCATGAGTAAGGTTGTGGAGCTTCTACTTGAAAATGACGAGTAAGGGCCAGATGAAGAAGATCACAGAGAGAGAGAGAGAGAGAGAGAGAGAGAGAGAGAGAGTAAATAATAGAAGCTAAATGTACAGTAAATAATATGTTATTCTTACATTTGTTTAGCTTCCCATTAAATGTAATGATATAGGTTACTAGTATTGGAGCATTCCAGCTGAATAAAAACTGTGATTCCAACAATTGTTTCAAGTTTCTGTATGATATATGATTCAGTTTTCATTCTTCGAATCAACAATCGTTTATAGAAAATCGAAAAAATTAGAACCATGAACAGAAGTATGAATAAATGTTTCTACAGCCAAACAAATTAATACCATGAACAGAACTATAAAAACTATTAGAGCTATTGTTGCTCGAGTAAAAGTTTACTTCAACTGCGTCTTTTGTAATATTTGCAATGGACTAGATATATAAGCCTATAACATCCTTTTTCTCTTTTGTGAAAGAATCAATTACATGTGGGATTTGTGCATGTTTTTTAATTTGATACTGTGCAATCAAAGTTGCAAACATCATTTTCCAAAGTTGTCAATTTGCAGTTCACTAGATGATTAAATAGGGGTAAAAATAGACTGCCGCCTGATTAAAAAAGAAATTGGCTTGACAATGACAACCTGTCGACATGATAAGAAAAATAAAATGGTAAACTTATGAAAATTTACCTTTTGGAAAGACTAAAATACCCTTAATTACAGATGAAAAATTGGATGATGTTAAAGTCAGATGACAAATTATAGATTTTAAAAAATTCATGTAACATTTCTCTTAAAAAAAAATTTCATGTGACAAATTAAAACTAAGGTATAAGTTCAACTTGTTCAAATGACATTTCAACAAATATCCCAAAATAAAAAGCAAAAATCTCAACGTCTCTTTTTCGCGTCTCCGCTTCCCTCACTCACTCACTCACTCACTCACCAAACATCCCAGCTTGCAGAACCGAATACCAAAAGCCTCAACTTTCTCTCCAACCAAACAAGCCACCTTCCTCTTACTTTCCCTCATTTTCCCTCTCACTTTCTTCCGTTTTCCCGCACAATTATCTCTCGCCGTAAAGTTCGGACTGCAACCAAAAATTGTTGTGCAAAGGTATGAACTTCACAAGAGTTGTACTTTCATTCTTTACTTTAGTAGTTATGGCTGATTGGTGCTTCATTTTCTGTAGATTTTTTGTTTTAATCAGCTGCGATTATGTGAATATATATGTATATAAGTCTATTTTGTGTGATTTGATTGCATTAGCTTGCTAAGGGCTTTGTGTTGGTGGCGATTGCCTACTAATTCGTCGACTTCTCTGAGTTTGTATTATCGAGTGAGAAATTTTCGATTTTCTTGAAAGGCATATATGGCGGGTTGTTCTTCGAGCTTTGGAATATCGAATGTTGTAACCCTGCGGAACGAGGTCGTTTTGAGGAATATGTGGAGCCAGAATTTGATTTTTGATGGCGTAAGGTTTAGGAATGATGCAAAGGAGCTAGCTTTGCCAGTGTTCTGTAGGAACAATCGCTTTAGATATGGGGCCAATTCCTTTTCGGTGAAGAAAGACCGGAATTTTATGGTCATGAGTATGTCTCAGCCTCAGGCTGAATCACACTCTGAGTTGGGAGCAGTAACGGTTTCAAATGAGGGAGCTGATGTTATTTTAGGAAATGAAACGAGGATTTTGGAGAATGGGTATAGATCAAAAACCGAGAATGGTGTGCTTGATGGTAGTGGTGGTGATGGGAAATACACGAATGGTAGAGGAGGAGGGGGTGGTGGTGGTGGCGACGATGATGGGGATGATAAAGAAGAAGAAGAGTTTGGGCCACTTATGAAATTTGAAGAGGTTATGAAAGAGACAGAGGCTCGAGGGGCTAGTCTTCCCTCGGATATGATAGAGGCTGCCAAGAGTGTGGGAATTAGAAAAGTGCTTCTCCTTAGATATCTGGATTTGCAGGTACAGCTGTACTAAGTTTCTATTCAATAATTATGTATCAATGTGTTCAGCATCAGTGATTCTTTCTCCTAATATGGTGTGACATTTAAATTGTAGGGGTCAGCCTGGCCTCTAGGCTTTTTAATGAAGTCATGCTCTATGCTTCGTGATCGAATGCTAGCCGATCCGTCATTTCTCTTCAAAATTGGAACAGAGGTTTGTGCTTGTCTTGATGTAACTTTACACAAATTATTCATCTGGTTACATGATAGATGTAAGATGGTGAGGACAGGGAATAGTATCAACTCTAATATGTGATTACTCCCATCTTGGCTCCCCATTAATATAATTTGTCTCCTGTACAAACTAGGTTCACTTTCTGTGATAAGATATCCCGTAAAGGGGCACATGCATAGTAAATTCCTATGCATCAAAGTTGTGGCTAAATTTTTGTCGATCATAGATTCTTTTCCCAGTGCCCCATTTTATTATATATAATGATATTGACCAGTGCAATGCAGATAGTCATTGATTCTTGTTGTGCTACATTTGCGGAAGTTCAAAAGAGGGGCAAAGATTTCTGGGCAGAATTTGAGCTGTATGTTGCAGATCTTTTGGTTGGGGTGGTGGTTAATGTTGCTTTGGTTGGGATGTTGGCACCTTATGCTCGTATTGGGCAACCATCATTATCAAAAGGGTTCCTTGGGCGCTTGCAGCATTCTTATGGAGCTCTCCCTAGCAGGTCAATAGCTCATGCCAAAAACAATACTCAAACCTAAATATCAATTCACGTCTAATAGTATTTGATACTCATACATGTCACATCTACTTGCAGCTTTAGAAAATAATGGGTATTTATTAAGTTTCTTAAGCGATCATCTTATGCAGTGTATTTGAAGCTGAAAGGCCAGGGTGTAGGTATTCTGTAAATCAGAGAATTGCAACTTACTTTTTTAAGGTAAGATTTACACATATCTTTAACCAAATGATATTTTTATGTCTTGGTTCATTATATTTGTTGATTCAACCTTTCTGTTTTCAGGGCATCTTGTATGGCTCAGTAGGCTTTGGATGTGGTATCATTGGACAAGGAATTGCAAACTTAATCATGACTGCCAAGCGGTACACTTCAATCTAGACAGACTCTCTTTGTTTGCGCGCATGCTTGCTTGCGCAACTCCAGCAGCTTTCTTGATTTGCATCATTGCTTACCAAATTATTTTCTAAATGTCAGGAGCGTAAAGAAATCAGAAGAGGACATACCCGTGCCACCTCTAATTAAGAGTGCAGTTCTTTGGGGTATGCATTTCTTCATCATTTACAGTTGTTATAAGTTGTCAGCTTTATTACCTTGTTATGATATTGGGATGAATTTTACTTCCATGAGTGTATCGGCATTTTTGGTTCCCTTATGTTTTAGTTTCATATGGTTCTGGTTGACATTTACTGGCACTTGTGTAGTCTATTTCAATAACTCGGTTTTCTTTTTGTCCCCCAAACTACCAGGTGTTTTCCTTGCTGTCTCTTCCAACACCCGCTATCAGATCATCAACGGACTTGAACGCTTGGTAGAGTCATCACCTATGGCAAAGCAGATCCCGCCCGTCGCATTGGCTTTCACGGTTGGTGTACGGTTTGCCAACAACATCTATGGTGGAATGCAGTTCGTGGACTGGGCTAGATGGAGTGGGGTTCAATAACTTAATGACCTTCAGAAGGAGAGGTTCTCAAATGCACAAGAAGCACAAAATCGCCAACGAAATTTGGTCCCTCAAAAACTTTCCGATCCCTTAGGTTTAGTTTCATCCCCAATGCTTTTATGTGTAATATGAAAAATGCTGAGCAGAAAGTCTTGTACAATCATGATGGCTGCATTTATAGATGATGCCGATAATAAAACCTTAGTTTCATGCATTTTTTGCCTGTGCAGATGTGAACAGTCCAAATTGGCACCGTTCTTGAAGTTCTTGTAACTGCATTGCAAGTGATGTGTTCGTATTTTCATTTAAGCCGCTTAGAAAAGAAAAGGTTCACTTCAGCAAAATGCAGCTCTGTCCTCATTGATGCTCCATAACACGGAAAAAAAAAAAAAAAAAAAAAAAAAAAAAAAAAAGGGGATCAATTTTTTGAAGGGAGGTGAGAAAAGCAGACAACTAATGTAGTTGGGAAACAGCCTTCAGTTGAGAATTAAAAGGAGGACAAAAAAAAAAAAAAACTGAAAAGGTTTAATACGTTGTGTGTGAACTTCGGTAGTTCCAGGTGTCCCTATTTTGTGAGGGGAAATTTGTTAAGACGAGTCACCAGTTTACAAAGTATTTTGCACTTCCCTTGATTTTATGAGCAATCAGCTAAAAATAGGATAACCTTTACCCGCAGCATTCGCATGGAGCAAATATAAGTGTTAATGTGAGTTGTCACTCAAACAAACCATAACTTACAGAGGTCACATATATGCAAAAAAGAATCTTACAGAGAGAACAAAGAGGGAAGAAAGTAGGAGGGGAGACTGAGAACGATGGAGCATGCGACGCATTCTTCATCAGAAGTAGGGCTTGACAGTCAATCCCCTCCTCCCAAAACACCAGTTGGAGGATGGAGAGCCGTCAGATACATCCTTGGTAAATTCTTTTTCATGGCAAGCTTTTCATTTTATGTTGATCTTTTCTTATCATTTCTATAATGATTTTATATGGGGGGATTGGACCCCCGGCGTTTTCTTAATGAAGACATAGTTGGATCTGTTCTGACTGTTACGATTTGTCTTTTTGAAGGGAATGAGACGTTTGAGAAGATGGCTTCCATGAGCTTGGTTGCAAATTTGGTGATGTATCTGCATACAAAGTACAACTTGGATAATGTGGTTTCGGCTAATGTGTTCAACATCTGGTCTGGTTCGTGCAACATTGCACCGTTGTTTGGTGCTTTCGTTGCTGACACTTACATTGGAAAGTTCTATACTCTTCTCTTTAGCTCAATAGCATCCCTCCTGGTAAGAATCTATAAATAGAATATGATATTCATTGAATGAATTTTTTAAGGATCTATGAACACTTGTGATTTCAATCTGGCAGGGAATGGGTACCCTGACCTTAACTGCAGGTTTACACGAATTAACTCCCTCTGCCTGCAAAGGACAAACCGAATGCCCGCAACCTAATGCTTGGCAGCTAGCCGTCCTCTATTCGGGTCTCGGGTTGCTAGTTGTTGGATCTGGAGGCCTTAGACCATGCAACATTGCCTTTGGAGCTGATCAGTTTGACACCAAAACAGAGAAAGGAAGGGCACAGCTAGACAGCTTTTGCAATTGGTGGTACCTCCTGTTCACCGTAGCCCTCCTCATAGCTCTCACCGGAGTCGTCTATATTCAGACCAGTGTCAGCTGGATTTTGGGTTTTTCCATACCAACTGCCTGCTTTGGTCTCTCCATAATAATTTTCTTGCTTGGAACCAAGTTGTACATACGCATAAAGCCCCAAGGAAGCGTCTTCACCGACATTATCAAGGTTGTAGTAGCTACCTGCAGAAAATATGGTTCTAATGCAGGACAAACTTCAGGGAAGTTATTTTATGATCCTCCTCCAATTGGATCAGAGTCTCAGACGGCAGCTCGCACGGACAGACTCAAGTTCATTGATAAGGCTGCTATGATTATGGACCCTAGTGAATTGGACAGCCGAGGCAAGCCTACAAATGGTTGGAGATTATGCAGTGTGCAGCAAGTTGAGCAACTAAAATCTGTGGTGTGGATATTGCCTGTTTGGATAACTGGAATTTTTTGTTTCATAGGCATGAACCAAATGAATTCTTTTGGGATCTTTCAAGCAATTCAGATGAACAAAGCAATTGGACCCAAATTCCAAATTCCACCAGCCTGGATGGGGCTAGCACCAATGATTGCACTTTCAATATGGATCATCATATACGAGAGCCTCTACATTCCTCAAATGCAGAAAAGGAACAAGAACGAAAGTGGAAGGTTGACAATGGAGCAGAGGTTTAAGATTGGCATTGTGATGTCAGTTCTGTGCATGGTGGTGGCCGGACTTACTGAGATGAAGCGCCGGAACTCAGCTCTGAAGCACGGGACTTTCGAGTCACCTATAACGGTTGCATTGCTCGTGCCACAATTCGCATTATCTGGTCTGATTGAAGCTTTTGCTGCAATTGCCTTGATGGAACTACTTACCGTGCAGTGGCCACAGAGCATGAGGACTTTTGCTGGGGCAGTCTTCTTTCTCAGCTTGTCCATGGCAAGCTACCTAACCTCCCTTCTCATCACAATCGTCAAAAAAGTGAGTGGCTTGAATGGCAATTCATCATGGTTGGGTGGCAATGATCTTAACAAGAACAGGCTTGATTACTACTATTACACCATAGCCGGCCTCGGGGTCGTAAATTTCGTGTATTTCCATTTCTATGCCCGCCATTATCTATCCGATGCAGCAGCTGTTGAAAATCCCGAAAACCAAGTTAACTCTGACACTGAAAGGGGTTGTAGGTCCAGAGACACTGAAAAGGGGTTGTAGGTCTTGTAGATTACAGATATTGCCTAGTGTTCTTGTAGTCTTGCTTGTTTTTTCATGTAATGTTGTTGATTTGATTCTCCTAGTACCAAGAACGTTTGAAAACCTCAAAGCATGTGTTTTAGAAGCAAATATCTTTACATTACATTTTGTTCATTATTTGTGAGCATTCATTCTATCTTGCATTGCACCACCAGCAGCGAAATAGTTTCCGAATGAATCTTGGTAAACAATATTTTACACGTGGCCGAAGCTAGGATATACCACGTGTCATGCTTCCTTGCTAGAAGAAGGAAAATTGTAACGGCTATATTGACTTTGATACTTTCCCGCGCAGCCTCTCTCTATATATATATTTCTCTCTGCACACACCGTACAACACCAGAGTTCCCAACCTCTCAGAGATTCCAAGACTCAACCTTTCGACATTGAAAGTTGGAACTCTAAACCCAAATCCCAAGAAACCAACCCCAAATCAACCACAACCATGACCAAGATCGACGCCCTCCGTCGATTTATCATCCCCTGCTTCTCCCCCACCAAGAAAACAACCCACTCCGCCGGCACCAAGAAACGCCTGAGCACTTCCCTGCGCGACGACCTCGACGACATTGACTCCGCCGCCTCCAAAACCCACGACCCACTAGACCAAGATTCGCAATCTTCCTCACCCACAACCGAGAATGACGCCGTCTCGACAATCGTGCCCCAGCAGCCTCGTCCCTCGAAATCCATGGTCATCGGCACCATCTTCGGCCACCGCCTCGGCCACGTGTGGTTCTGCATCCAGCACGACCGCCTCTCCACCAAACCCACCCTCCTCCTCGAGCTCTCCATCAAGACCCACCAGCTCGTCAACGAGATGCGATTCGGCCTCGTCCGCGTAACCCTCGAGTGCGACGAGTCGAGCCGGTCCCAGCTCGCCACGTGTCCGCTCCATTCCGTCCCGCTCTGGACCGTCCACTGCAACGGCCGCCAACTCGGGTTCGCGGGGAGGAGGAGAGCGAGCGATAAGGTGAAATTGATGCTGAAGACGATGCAGTCCACGACGGTCGGCGCCGGGGTTATGCCGACCGGGTACGGGTTGGAGTCGGAGTCGGGTCAGGAGGTGATGTATATGAGGGCTAACTATGAGCACGTGGTGGGAAGCGCTGACTCGGAGTCGTTTCATCTGATTAACCCGGATCAGTACCCGGGTCAAGAACTCAGCGTCTTCTTGCTTAGGTCCAAGCACTCATGAGACTTCTGCTTAAGGTTCAAGGTCACATTTTTATTTTAATTATTATGGGTCTCTCTGGTTATTTCTTCTTTTCCTTTTCTAGGAACTGTTGAAATGGAAAGTGAAAACTAGGTGTTTTCTGTAGCTACGGATTTTTTGGAAAATCCTTGTTGGGAATTTGGGGTTTTTGTAATTTTCTTGGAAGGGAAATTCTTTTTTTTTTCTTTAGAGGGTTGGATAGAGATAGCAGAGGTTGGCAATTATCTCTCTCTATATGGATTAGTTTTTTAGGGCGCAAGCTAATTCCAGCAATATCAACTGTACATTGTATATCATTTCATCTCAGAAGTGATCAACAAAATTCAAAATTTCAATGAAATTTCAGATCATTTCTTACTTTGCACCTTCATTCCCTATGTTCATGGCACTAAACACAATGATCAACTTAAGTGAGTAAAGATTTTATTTTGCATCTATCTCAGCCGTCCATATATTATCTAAATATTAAAAACAGAGTGCAGATTGATATAGTGTGACTGATGTGGGTTCATAAACATTGCAGTCCACTGATGTTAAGGTTTTTTAAATGTTCCTAGCCCTTGTGTTTTCAGAATTTCAGGGGTTTTGATTCTTTGAAAAATTTGCCCATGTCTGTACAAGAATACAACTATGGACCACTTTGAAGTTTCAAACTAAGCTACAAAGAAAGAACCAAATAACAAGGGCACCTGTCACTTGTGTTTGTAACTCTTCTGCAAGTTCTACTGTTACCAACTTAGATATTTTCTGTACAACTGTTCTGATTTTAACACTTTCATCTAAAAGACAAACCATGGGATTTTTGAGGCTCAAAATTAATGCCATAATACAACATTAAACCTCCACCACCTAATTATATCATTATTTCCGCATAATTTCTTTATAATCTGTATATATATGTGTGCTAATTAGAAGCTTCTGCAGCACATCAATCTCTGTAAGAAGTCATCTTGCTTCCCATTTCTCACTAGATAAGATGCTGGAAGGAAAAGCTGTGGTGCGAGAAACAGATATGCCACATGCCATGCAGAGCCATGCCATGGAGTTGGCTTACAAGGCTCTTGATCTCCATGAAGTTTCTGACTGTAGATCCATTGCTCACCATATCAAACAGGTTTCAATTATTTTCACCCTCAAGACTAAATATT